TTTGATTTAGAAGTTGTTTATCTATGTAGATATTTCTACTATTACAGGCTTCTAAATATTTATTATTATTGTTATATTATTATTATTGTTATTATTATTATTATTATTACTATTATTATTAACGCTTCTCAGCAGTACAAAGTAAGATACAGCTTTCGTCTGAAATTCTTAATATAGCTTATTCCCACGCCATTTTTGTAAAGAAAATTCACATATACAGTTTTGTTTCAACAGGATGTGGAACTGTGGTAAATAACACACTCAAAAGTCCTGGATATCCCGAAGATTACCCAAACAATATGGACTGTATTTATACTATTCACATTCCACCACGCATGAAGGTTAAATACGAGTTTAAGTATTTTAAACTGGAAGATCCTGATCATGATAAAATGTGCAGGTAAACGGTTTTTTTGTGTTACTGGTTCGATGCTGGTGGAAACTCTGAGAGGCGTTATAAAGAATGCCGGCTTAAAAGTCCTTATCGACGGGACACACGCATTAGTGTTAGAAAATGTTATGTTTAGGTCAAAATGTTGTATTTGTTACATTTTCGAGTTTGCTCGTACAGGCTCGGACATATGAATCTCATTGTTGAATAGAGTCTCACAGATTTTAGGCGGCTGTGGTTTAGCACTGAGTTAACTTCTTAGCCGAGTTCGTAGAAAGTAAAAAAGGACCGCGTAAATAAGTCGTTTTGCTAGTTTAGATCTTTTGAAATGAATGAAAAATTGCTAACAATGGCAACACCGGTGTCAATGAAAACTACATTTTGGAAAATTTCATGATCAATCTCATGCAAACAGTTGTGGAACAGTTTAGTCTAATTTTCTCGGCCGAGGTGACAGACTGCAGTCAAGCGAGTGTGAAGTCAAATGCCATTTAGTGCAAGCCAAATGCTACTAAATTTTTTTCCAGTATTACTCGTAGAAAACTCGAGCTCGTAAACAAATTGAAGGGCCCGGTGGAAAAAGGGCGTTAGGTATTTTGCTCAAAAGTGAACTTCGCCGATAGCTCGATTATATCAGCTGCGTTCGAAGTTTCGGAACACATTTTGCTTCTTTTATGCGAGTTGATGACTTACGGGTTTATCAAGGCTTTATGATGCCTCTCAACCACCAGGCAGGCATACAAGGTACTTTAACACAATTCTTAAGGTATTAGTTGACAGAGCTCTAATGCATCATCTCTTTTCTGTTCGATGGTATTTCCTTTGAC